GTGCCGGGCGAAATGTCATCGGCTCGTTCTCAATGCTATCTTTCGTTCTCATCTTATCGTACAATGCACTAGTCAAAAAAAGAGAGAGAGAGAGAGAGAGAGAGAGACAGATAAAACCAGCGGGAGAGAGAGAGAGATAGATAGATTGTGAATAAGTGTGCATGCTGAATTAATCATAATTGTTTTATATATAATACCCATGGTGCTTGATAACAAAGATGGGTGCTAATATAGCTGCTTTATCACCAGCAACAGGTGGCTTTAATTTTAGCAAACGTATAAGACAGAGTAGAGCAGGTATGTATGATAGTTTTTTTGAACAAGATAATTCTTTAATTGTATTTTAAATAAAGTTTTTCTTATGCAGAAAAAAAAAACAGATTTTTTTTTAAAATTCATTATACAAATATTTAATGTTTTTAACAATAATGATAAAATAAATAACATTGAATTGTATTATCCTAATAAAATATCATATGGTCTATAATTAATGAAATTAATTCTGCTAATTAATCTAACATACGAACATAGTATATGTGTGTATATGTATTTTTTTCTTGATTTGATTGAGCTCTTGTCTGTTAAAGTGACAAACATATACTTAATTCTATCGATTGACATTGACAAATATTATATTTGAGATATTTGATTAAGAACTGATGTATTAATGTAATGATGAATTAGAGGGATCTACACTCAGTCACTATTGTGATTAGTAAAATATTAAGTATTTCTGTTAAAAGTTTTAATAAGAAATTAGAAAATGAAAATTTGATTACGATATTTTAGTTGACTATCAATCTTCTTTAAAATAATGTATAATAATTAAGGAAATACTTCTTGAACGAGAAAAAATCTCTCATTTCCGTTGTAACTAACATTGATTCTGATGAAAGTTTCATATTCTTCACAATCAAGAAGTAGTTTCTGAATTGTCATACATTCTTTTAAAAAGAATTAATTTTCTATTTCTAACTATTTTAAATAAAAGTTTTTTCTTCGTAAACAAAAAATATTTTATTGATCATGATCGTGACTGAGTGCACATTTCGAATTTGTTTTGTTTATATTTTTTTGTTGTTAAACTTAGAAGCTCGTTTGGATGGTATTCTTGCAAAAAATGTTCAACATCCACGTTCAATAGACGAAATTATGAAATGTACAAGATTTTCAAAATCAGAAATTCGTCTTTTATATCGAAGTTTTAAAGAAGTATAAATCATATATTCTTTTCAAATTTTATCTTATTATTATTGTTCAATTTTTTTGTTTTGAAAAAAGGAATGTCCAGGTGGAAATGTCAGTGAAGAACGATTACGTGAAATTTATTTACAATTTTTTCCTCAAGGAAGTAAGTAAAAACAAAAGTAAATATTTTATTTATTTTATTCTTCATATTTTGATCGATAGATCCTATTAAATATGCACATTTTCTCTTTACAATTATTGATCGAAATCATAAAGGAACATTTACGTTTGATGTAAATTTATTTTTTATTTATTTATCTTAATTAAATAATATTTAATTTTTATTTTAGGATTATATTTTAACGTTATCTGTTCTATGTCGTGGAACAATCGATGAAAAATTACGATGGATATTTCGTTTATATGATATTAATGGTGAAGGATTATTAACACGAGAAGTATTTTTTTTTAAAGAATTTCAAAAATAAATGAATATTATCTATATTTATTCTTTTTTTTTTATTAGAATGTTACTGAAATTATTTTTTCATTTTATGATCTCCTTGGTCCATCAGTTCATCCTCGTGTTGATGAACGTGAAATTCATCAACATGTTGATGAAATATTTGAAGTATGTATTAATAATTGAATATCTATTTAAAATATTCAACATGAAAATTTTGTTTCTGTTAATCTTTAAAAAAAAAAAACTTTCTATAAATGGGATATTAATAAAAGATTCAATTATGAATTATCTTAGTGTCTTTATCTTTGTTTGTTTTTCTTTTGTAGCGTATTGATCCGATGCAAACTGAACAAATAACATTGGAAGATTTTATTGATTATTGTAAACGGGTTAGTTTAATGAAACATAAATAGAATTGATTAATTTCTTAGAATGCATCTTTTGTTCCATTGTATATCAATTATATTAATGATTTGTCTTTTCTTTACTACGCCTAATCTAATACATTCTATAATATGATATATTTATCTGAATGCTAAACAATTTTTCTTAGAGTAAAAGTTATATTTGAATTATTGATTTGATAAGATGTCATATCGTGAACTCAAAGTTTTTCGTCAGTTTTACAGGACAGTTCAAAAGTCATTTTAATGAGAAAAAATTCCATATCTCTGTTACAACTCGAACAAGTGGACTGATTTTTTTAACCAATGATGAAGACAAAGCTAAAGAAGACCTTTCATAAGTTTCAGTATTAGCTTCAACAAAAAAATAAAATTATACTTTTTCACATATAAGAGAAAATAATGTGCAATGAAGAAGAGTCAACTTATCAAGATAACACATAAATAATCAAATAAACTTTTGATTGTCATACGTTATTCGTTCACATATCTTTTCTCTTATTATTTTTCTGCTTTCGCTCTACCACAATCCTATATTGATAATTCACATTAAATAAATCTCGTTTCCATCGTATACTGTTAATTATATTCATTTACAATCTCGATCGACGTTTGTTTTGTGTTTTCTCGATCAGCCTTATCTCTTCATTCGTTCTTCTTTTTCTGTTCTATCTCTGTCTCTGCAAATACATGAGCCCCTCAACACAGAGTTACATACTGAATATATATGATAGAAAATGAAGAACGAGACTTAGCGAGAAAACACACAGCAAATGTTGAATGTGATTAATAGTATACGAAGAAAAAAGATTTATACGATATGAACTAACTATTTGAACTGTGGTAGAGCGCAAGGAGAGAAATAATAGGAGAGCAGATATGTGAATGCACGGCGTGTGACAGTCAAAATTTCATTGAATTATTTACATTTTATCTTGATAAATTGACTCTTCTTCATCGTACATTGCTTTTCCTATCTTGGAAAAATTAAAAAAAGGTTCTTTTCAGCCTGGTGTATATGGATATTAAGTACGAACATGTCTTTATTATTTATAAAAAAAAATCAGTCTGTTTGTTCGAGCCGTAATAAAAATATTTGCTGACTTGCTTATATTTTGTAATGAAATTTGATAAATATGTTCTAATCAGAAAAGAGTCCTAATTTAATTAATGTCGAGAATCCTTCTAAACTTGGAAGTTAACTTGATCAGAGCTCGATATAATAACATTAATTATATCAAGTTTCATTGTAAAGAATGCTCAAGTCTAGGCATGCATGAGTACTAGTATTAATGATTTACTAATACTAATATTAGTTATCATTCATATGACAACTTTTTCTAACAATCCGATTTGTTGCAGACTTTTGTGAAAATTATCTTTTTCAGCATTATAATATAATGTAACGTTTTAGCTACTTTTTGCTAACTGTGTCGGCGAATAAGGTATCGTACTCAATTTCTTGCCGAATTGTTTAATTCAGTTCAATTCCTTATTCTTTGACTTCATGAGTAATCAAACTGATATTTGTCTATTAAGTATAAATGATGGAAGAGATTGGATAAATCCGGTTGATATTAACAGTGAAAGAAGTAGCTAAAATATCACACTGATTTGTAGTGCTGAATAGGCATGCACAGAAACCGTTTGGGTCGTTTTTTGCCTAAATGTAGAAAAAATGCCCTTATCTACTCAACCACATGACACAACATTTTTTTCAGTCACAATAAAAATGAATTAGGGTAATGATAATGATACTATGGAATGTCAAAAGGCAAATTTCGATAATGTTGTTAGACAACTTACTAGAGTCAATCAAAACAAAGCATAAACCCAATGAACTTCCGTTGTTTTTCAGTTTCCTTTCAATCTCCAATTAAACCAAACGATTCGTTGGATCATTATCTGTTTCATTGTCAATGTCAGACATTCTTCTATGCAATTTATTGATATAGTTCGTAATTAATAAGATAAAGTTGAAATATTCAAATTTTGCTATTGGGTTTGAATACATGTCTAGTGCTGATAGTTTCAATAACTCAACAACGGCAATAGCTAGTGATCTGCTAATTTTAGCATCTGAAAGAGGCGAACTCGGGACGTCTATTTATGTGACATTATATAAGACAGAATTATTTTAAAAGTCATCATCTTTGCCAAATATTTAAAAAATATGGAAGAACATGGTGTTTCGTTTCAAGGGTCTTTCGATGGAAAATGAGAAAAATTGCTAAAAGTCAACAGAGTTCTATACAATTTGATCGATCACAGCCACATCGAAGCGGAACACCATTTTCACACTTTTTTCTGAACGCCTTGCGGAGATGATGAATTTAAAAAAAAATTGTTTCATATAGTCTCAGATAGCAAGATGTCTAGCGTTCTCGTACTTCGATTGCTGAAAACCATAGGTCGTTAACCATTGTCATTGTCAAGTTATTGATCTTACACCACAAGAGAGACGAATACACTGATAATTTTAACTTTAATCGAGAGTATAATGTTGAAAATTAGAAATTTTTGTAAATCCTAGATGGAACAATTTCGAAAAATTTTTAAAAATGAAATATAATACAACACTAGAGCCCTGCATAAAGTCAAATATAAAGTTCACTACATTTTTTACTGAAAATTCAGTTTTAACCTATGAACATTTTTGAATAGTAGGCTTTGCTCTCTGATATTTACTGTACAAACTGATGTTTTTTGGAGATTTCCTCTCTTGAATATTCAAGAAAATTGTATATCTATTTAGTTGAAAGAAAATCTAGTAAATGGAATGATATTTTTGTTTTGGAGTTTTCTAACAAATTAGTCATTCCTATATAAAAAAGTAAATTTTTTTTTTCAGCGACCTCATTTGATGGAATCAATTCAAACATTGTCATCTTGTTTATAAATACTGTTTACTATATTATTATGTTTTGCTTTATTAGTCAGTATTAGAAATGATTGGCAATTTTAAGTCGAGAATTATGCATTAATTTTTCACGAACAATAACATCATGTGGATATGGTGTGGATCGCTGTACAGCTGTAAAATAATTTATTGGTTCAATTGGTTGATATTGTCGTTCTTGATAATTTTGATTAAATGTTCGATATTCATTCATTGTTGTTGTCTTGTCATTTTTGTCATTCGTATATATTTTTTGTTGACTTTTTTTATTATTATTATAAGAATTAGCATGCTCATTCTTAACACTGATTGTATTATGAATACGTTGATGTTGTCCTGATTTTTTATGGTGATCAATGCTATTATCAAAATCTTGCGTTGGTGAAGATGTTATTGTTCGAGAACCAGTATCCCTTGAAATAGATGTTCCTGATGGATATTTTTGTATTGGATCAATAGATTTAAGTCGACGACGTTTTGAACATGATTGGCAAATAAGAAAAATGAAAAGAATTAGAACGGCAATAAATATTACACCTGTCCATGATAAACAAATAAGTACCAAAATAGTTAATAGGTTTGTTGAAAATGGCTCCATGATGTTTCTTTATTGCACTATTTTATCATGTCGTTTATTGTTATTCTCGTTACTCTGCTGATAACATTTGTCAATATATGTACATGAAATACTTTTATTATTTATTGTCATTTATCACTTTTCTTTTTTTCTTCTTCTACCGAATACTTAATAGTCACATCTGTTCTGTTTTACTACCTGCATAAATAGCCCGATCAAAATATATAAGAATTAAAGAAAGAATTCTTATATATGTATATATCAGTTTACAACATTTAGTGATATTCTAAATAAATTATTTTCATATTATGTTGATGTGTTCTACTGCTTACTATACAGTGATATGGATTGACCATATATCCATCCTTCTAACCTGTTACTCATCCTATATCTATGTCGTACATCTTAGAATTTTATGCTAATTTGCACGTATATAAGCGCTGTATATAATATCAAGTATAGTTTTTTTTTCTTCTTCCTTTGTACGTTCAAGTTCGTTTAATGTTTTAATAATATACTGTGTGTATACCTGATAATATAGTACTAATATATACCAAGATAACTTTTTCTATTATACTTCTTGTTGTATACTATGACACAATGTATATTTGTAGGTAATCTCATTATCCGAATTAAGACAGCATAGGTTAAAAAGTTTTTGTTTTGTAATGAAGTTAAACATATTGGGTTTATGCTGGGCATCAACTTGAACGTTATTAAAAATCTGTAAAGTATTATAAACACAGCTAAACTGAATACATAAAGAGAAAAATGAATTATCAAAAAGGTGAACATGTATTATCATGATGGAAGAAACATTCATGTATGTATTCACAATTGTGAGGTTTGACATCAATATTGAGTTTCATTCCAACGTCAGCAGCAACAAGCAAATATATACTTAGCGAAATCGATAGGGTTTTAGAAGTAGAAAGACATAAAGTGAATCCTGAACCACTTGATTCACTTATTTTTTTATTGCTGTTTATTAGGGGAATAATGATGTTATAAATCTTCTTCCAGTTATTTTACCAAATCAAAGAAATGTCCTCACACACACGTACAACAACTAAGCTACATAACGAACCAAGAAGAAAAGGAAAAACGCGCATATATATATGATCATAAGCATCGAGGGTTTTAACGAAAGGAAAGAGATGATGATATATGATCGAAGATATCACATCGAAAAAAAGATATCACATCTAGGGACAAAGAGAGAAGAAAGAAAAAGAAAAACATACTGTGAAGGCAATGTCCGTAACACTGTTTATGGAAGAAACTAAATAGTATACTTTTGCATATGAAATAAAAGTTTGAAAGTCGACTGTGACTATGGAAGCATCTGTCGAATGTCGATTAGCTTCAGTTCAAATCCGGTTGCAAAAAGTCGTAATTGTTTAGGACATTGATGCAGAATGAACAGATTGCGCTACAACATGACAAGACCTACTGTGCAAATATACAATTATAATCTTTCATTAGTTACTTGAGATGATACAAACTTTCTTTAATCTTCAATAAATTCCGCAAAACGATGATTTTGACGACTTGACGTTCATCTTGTACCAGAGATAATTACAAGTGGTGAACAGAAGAAATAATAAGAATCTTCAACAGGACAGAATCGACTCTAGATGAAATCACATTGCTGAAAATTGAGATTAATTCGCACAGCAGTTACATGTATGTAGTTCTTTGTGAGTTTTATTTTTATTTTTTACTTGCTAGACAAAAATGTCAAAAGTTATCATTTTCTGTTGCAACGATCTCGGGAACGGATAGTCAGAAAATACTCAGATAGATCATCTTATACTTTTTCATCTTTTCTGTGAGAAGCTGTTGTATTTGAAGTCAAAACGGATTTTATCTTTTAAGTTCTGTATCTTTGCTACGCTATAAATAGCAGGAGTAAAAAAAACTTATTGCAGTCCTAGCAACAGAGTGGATATGTAACTCACTAAATAAGAATGCAGCAAATGAAGCTTAACATAGCACGTTGTTCTAAATTTCATCCTCTGTCTACATATGACTATGATAAGCTTTTTAATTCTGCTATTCATAACGTAACAATGGAATATAACTTTTACTGTCTTCGATGAATGAATAAAACAGTATAAGAATGTCTCTCTGCGATTGATGTATATATATTAGACTACTAAAACAATTTTCCAACATTAAATACCTATTCAAATACAACATCTGATGCACCTTTTTGTGCTCTTATATATCATGATGAAAAGTTCGACTGAGAACAGGCTGGCAACAGTTTGTAAAAATAAGTAATTGAATACCTTTAGTAGAATGAAAACTATTGTCGGCGCCAGAATTAAATAGGGGTGGGTATAAGCTCAATAACTCGACAACCGCAATAGCTAGCGACCTGCGGTTTTCGTCAATCGAAAGAGGAGGAGTTGGGACGCCTTTTTCTCTGATAATGTATAAGACGAAAACCTTTTAAAACTAATCATATTCGAAAAGCATGCAAAAGAACCCATGAAAATGATCTGCCNTCATTTTACTCAAATGTCCGTCGAGTCGAGTCGAGTCGAGTGAATATTGAAGTTGGGTCGAGTCGAGTCGAGTCGAGTTAGGTTTTTTCAAATGTCTGTCGAGTCGAATCGAATCGAGTGAGTACTTAAGTCGAGTCGAGTCGAGTCGAATCAGATTTTTTTGACTCGTTTCGGTCTCTGGTCCAAAGATATCACATTACTGCCAAAAAATTCTATACTAATTTTTCCTAGTACCTCAATAAATTTACAAAATGAGTGAACCCAACATCTTCGTTATGAAAAAAGGGTGTGGGTGTGGGTTTATTTCATCTGTTCAATCACACTCGCACCCGCACCGTACCCATCGGTAGGTATGCATGGTGAGAGACGACATCCACATCCTCAGGAGATTATCAAATCTAGGAGATAAAATATTTTCTTGTCTTTATTTTAATTCGATTAGGATGATATCTTTCTCATTTGTTTTGTTAATGATAATTATTATTATGTTTTCTTTCGTTTTTGTTACTTATAATATTTACGTTTAACTGAACAAGCAAATAGAAAATTAAATGAAAAATATATACTTCCAAATATAATCGATAATCTATCTATCTGCTGCTACTTTACATAGTTTCGCAAACCGACGTAAGTTGGTTGAACAAAACAACCGATAATAACTTGTTTTTGAAAAATATTATCTGTTGATGATTATTGTTCAGTACTTCTTGATAAGATAAGAAATTTACTTGATAGAAATTTCGATAGTTCATCATATAAAGATTCATTACGTAAAATGTGTGGTATTCATGCTTATAGTGGTTTTACAATGGATAAAATTATTCATGATTGTGTACAACAAGTAATACAAAAAACAATTCTGTTATTCTTTTCTTTTACATATTGTTGTTTTTAGCTTCATGCTATTATCATTGATGAATCATCGGATGCAATAATGAATTTATATTCACGTATAAGTCGTATACTTCATGATCTTGTAGATAATCTTTATTCAACAGCGCAATAAAAGTCAGACGTTACTTGTCAACGTGAAATGAAAACATGCAGATGAAAATCGTCTATTTCGTATTTGTTCAGTATGTTAATTTTATTTTGTTTAAAGGTTGTGAGTGTAGGTGTGCATCTTCATTTCACCCACACTCACACCCTGAACTTCAAGAAAATACTTTCAACGACATGATGGAAGCAACTCTGATAGTTGAGTCGAATCGTATAATGATCTTCTATCATTGCGAGAAAGAGAAAACAAACAATGAGTATTGTAATATACTTTTTCATTTTAAACTGGGGTATAAACTGACTTCGATGCTATATCGCGATCAATCAATAGCAGACATAAAATCAAATGCCACAATGCAGATATCATAAACAGAATGAAAAGGATAAAGCAAAATAATATGATACATAGGCTTCATTCTTAGCAGTTTGATAACTCCGAATAGCCGATTGTTTTCAGAAAAAGGGTGTGGGTATGGGTTAGAATATTGTTGAAAAGAGGCTAACTCCTACGCTCATACACCCACGCGCGAACCCATATACACACGAGACACTCATCCATACGCGTATATGTATGTACTTCTCACAATCACAGTTACATGCATATCGACCGCCTTGATTTGAATATCTTCTCCATACAAAGCTACATAAGTTGAATTATTCTTAATACCACAACCGATGTTGAGAAAATTTTCTATGAAAAAGATATAGTTCAATCAATCGAATAGTAATCAATTGTGCGTGTTGAGTTTCCCAACGACAATCGCCGCTGTCTAGCATACGTGTAAGAACAGTTTTGATAAAGACCACTCATTATTGTCCTTTTATGCTACGCTACTTCTGTGCAATAACCAGATAGCCACGCCCACACGCTCACCCGTCCACATCCATACTCTTCTAGATACTTGATCCGTGGTTCTAGTCCACTTTTGAAAATTCATTTTATCTTCATAGAGCGGCTGTCCACTCTTTAAATTGAACGGCACAAACTTGAGCACGACACATGCATGCGTTCCCAAGTTATTCAAAAGCTGGCCACTCGCTTCTTCTTTTTTGAAACTGTCATTATTTTGTCGAATTCAAAATTCTTTGTTAGATCAAATCAAATTGCTTGCCGATAAGAACTAGAAAAATCCCATCTTCCGAAATTGTTTTTTTTTGTACATAATGGGTGAAAAGCTTAAGGCCGACCAGAGCATCAATCTTTCCATGAAACGAGCACATCAAAGAGCTAATATATTGCCAAGTTACTCAATGCTTGATTGACAACATTAGTAACAGTCATCTTTTTACCACTGAATAGATTCAGCTGATGTACTGAATTAGAAAGCAATTTTGAAAAAGCAGTGCTCTACTGACAACATATAAGCAATGAAAGTGAATAAAGTTGAACAAAGCATGTAGATAGTGTTTCGATAGCTGCGAATAGTCTCATTCGATGGCAGTGTTTGAAGTTACTTGTACCGATCGATGGCACCGAGTGAGAAGCTGAAAAATCACACCTACTCCATGCCAAACGATCAGTCGTAGAGCGATGGTCAGTCCACCGTAGAGCCCTAATAGGGTGGTCAGTATATAAATAATGTCATTGCGTTCAACATAAGAATATTGACATGTTGCAGGAGCACACTCGTAAAAGTAGCTTAAGTAACTTGACGAATTATACCACGTTTCGATAAAAAGATCGTCAATTATAGAGCCGATTAATGTTGTGCTCGGTGGATGTCGAATGTTGTCAGATGAATTGAGTGGATTTATCGGAGTCGAAAAACCGATCAATGTCGTGAGTGTATTCAAGCATGTTTCGTCATACAGACATTCGAATGTTGATAAGCGAAGGCCTAAGATCACCAAACATCCAGCGTTAAAGCCTGAAAATCATGGTAATTGATAAAAAATTTAATGTGCATTACTACAAGTACCTGGAAAAGTGATTGTGTTATTACTCGAATTCAAAAATTTGAGTGGACTCCAGCATGTTGACTTGCCTGCAGCACATGTGCATGTATTATTATTGTATGAAAGTGGAGTAGTGCGAAATACATAATATTCTTCCGAAGTGGAATATATCATTTTCCAACTTGACATGAATTGATCTTGAAGTTGGTTCGATCGATGTGCATTCATAACAAAGGCAAGTGTATGACGAAACGAGGCCGGAGTTTGTTTGATTAGAAGCGTAATCAACGAATAGACTTGTGTTTGAAACAAACTGAGCGGAAGGGTTTCGACATTGACGAATTTCCTTGAGATAAAATTGTATTTTGATTGATCGACAGCATTCTTAGCAAGATTGCACAATGATGATAGTAGACGAAACTGGGTGCTAAGTAGGAACCAATCAGACACTGACCAAGTAGAGCCCATATTGAATAAAGCTGTTGACCAATTTGATGAAACAAACTGACTAGAGCACACCTGATGCATCACAGGTGATACATCGATAAATTTTTCATATGGAATAGCAATTTGTGAACAAGGACATGTTAGTGTAGTTGAATATTGAGAATAAAGATATTCGAATTGAGTTTCGGTAGGAGAGTCAACAGTGAATGAATGTGTCTGTTGACTTAGTCCGACGAAGAGCGATATAATAGCAATTGAAATCATAAGTAGAACGAGATAAATTCGACTAGCTAATAACTGATAATTACTGGCAAAATTTGTTTCATAGACATTCAGAGTCTGAATACTTTGTCGAATATGTCCAACAAATTGACAGAACGAGCAATGAGTTGGAATATCTGCAAATGTAAAACATATTTTTATTAAATTTGAAATTATTCGATTCTCACCAGTTTTTCTTTGCCAACGATCGTAACAATTATGATAGATCCGTCGAATAATCTTAACGCATGGTGGGACGAGAATGCGAAGAATTACTGTGAGTCCACCTAATAGACCAACAACATTTGTGATGATGAAGATGGGTTGACGTTTCTCTATGAATGTGTATATGCAAGACTTAGGTTGACATTGAGCATAATGAGAAGCATAGTCGACAGCTTTCGTCCAATCTTCAATAAATAATTGCGAAATGATGGTTTCAAGTGATGTATTCGGAAGATATTGACTTTTTATAGAAGGATCGAGGGCAGTGATATTGGTGAAGTTCACCGGCAAATAATATTGAGCGAAGTCAAAAAGACGCCAATCGATCAGCATTTGGATACACGATTGATCAAAGAGACATTCAAGTGTTGACAAAAGAATTGAATCAATAGGAAAGCAGCCAAGATTTAAGCCAGGAATTGTGCGGTTCGGTAATGAAGTACCAACATGGCAACCAGCTGCATAACAGTAAAATCCTTGTGGTTTAGTACACCGACTCGATGTGCCACATGAGCAACTGTTATTACCATTTGTATACACTTTGGATTGATAACGAAGGTTCCATGTGCCATTGATTTTCTGTGATCTGGGTATAGCATTGGTTGCTCCAACCACAAGGAACTGATTTAGACGAATTGTGTTGTAGACAAGATCGAATAGGGAACTAAACGACTCAGTCACCTATAGAATAAAGCGAACATGAGTTTTCATCTCTTGGTATAGTAATTTCAAATGATTCACATTTCTGGATCGTTTCAAAACTCGCAGCATTAGAAGCACCTTCAGTGAAAAACTAACGTAAGCTAGCATTTTGTCAAACAAAGAGAATTAATGCTGAAGTCTTCGTGTTCTTTTGCTCGAACTTTAATTCTTAGCAGTTCTAACAGAAATCTTCTAAGTTGTACAATTACTTTTATTGGCCATTGTAAAACTTTCAGGAATTGAAACTCGAACTGAAACAATTATGCACACCGTGGATAGCTAGTTCAATGGGACTGTTTCAAACCGTTGCTGATCCTGATTTTAAAGTTATTGTTCAAGCATGTTTTGACATTGGTAAAAAAACAGTAATCAAGTATGTTTTTAGGTCTATTTTTCTACATCATGCTACATCAGAAAAGTGCTCGATTTTTAATCTGAATACGGATACTGCATCGATTGGCCATTCATCTTGATCTTTTCATATGCTTTCATTCCAAAATAGTTTAGAAAATGCTCTGTGGAAGGCACCATTGTGACCTTCATCAACTGAATCTGCCACAATGAAAATGAGACCACTAGAATAAGAAGCTCTTGTTATTTTAAGTTAATCGTCCCTCCTCTAATGTTCACAGGCGTGGACACTTGTAGATCGATTGGAAAACCTTAAGAAAGCATGAGATTCAAAAAGTTTTAAAATATTTTTTTCTAGTAAACCTCATGAACCATTGATAAATAAAAAGAGTAGTTCATTTCATCTGTTCATCTTCAAAATATGAACCTTAGAAAATCTATAGTTTTGAAAAAAAAAGAATTTTTTAAAACAAGCTTATCGCACACTAAGGACAATAGAGATATCGGGGTGTGTTGTGTAATTGATATTCAAGGTAATGCTTACTTATGAATTAGCCGTGTTTCGAAAGCTTCACAATAGCTAGGTGAATAAGAGATGGTAAGGCACAAGATGAACCCTGAATCCATCATTGACAGGACGCAGAGGAATGGCGAAAACATGAACATATTTTTTGTAAACCTTATCATATAAGAAGTTGAAATGATTTTTAACATACTCCCTCGGACAAAAAAAACGCCCTTTTTCCATTTCATTTTTGCATCACTTAATAAGTTGTTTTAGAAAAACAAAATATACCAGGAGATGCAGCGTGAAAAGAACTACAATGTGCAAAGTAAAGCTTATTTTAATTTTGTACTTTTTGTTTTCAAAAGAAGCAAAATTGTGTGCGACCAATTTTCGACGCTGCGAAAAAATCATATTTTCTGATCTCANACATGAAACAGGATCATGAATTTTGTATACTCTGATAACTTCAAGCATAATTTAGAAGATTTTGTGTGATGCTTTCAGATCTAATAGCGACAGTCAGCTGACAGCTCAAAGATAAATAGAGGGTGTTCCAAAAGTCATTATATAATAAAATATTTTAATTTCTTCTATTCATGGAGGCACAGTTCAGAAATGCTGCTCAAAGCTATGACCATTGACTGAAATGCAAAATGTTGTCCCCTTTACGGTTTCAAAAACTTTATACCATCTCTAGATCTTGTACCGTCATTTTATATATATATTTGTTTTCCTACGTCTTCATAGAACGAAGTCCAATGATATCAAGTTCAGTATTCTTGAAGCCTATAAGATCAGTCCATCTCTTCCAATTCACCGGTCGTCATTTTTTTCGTTGAGCTAGGAGCAAACTGCTTGTTAGAAATATGTTAATGCTGCATTTTTTTGAAAGGTTTCCTTCTTACTCATTCGTTTCTCTTGTGATAGAAATTAAAAACATCTTGAAAAGTTTGATGATATATGAGTTGGAAGAGATGGACTGATCTTATGGGCAACACGAAAATAGAACTTGATATCATTGGACTTCTTTGTATGAATACATAAGAAAAGAGATTTATATAAAGCAACAGTGCAAGATCTAGAGACGGTTTAAATTATGTGATACCCAAAAAAAAAGACAAAACTTTGTATTTCAGTCAGCAATCACAGCTTTGAGCAGCATTTTTGAACTGTATCTTCATGAATAGAAGAAATTCAATTTTCTTGTGTAGTGACTTTTGAAAAACCCTGAAACATGATATAGCAAGCCTAAGGTAAAATATTACTTTTAATTTCGTGTAGTTCGATTCACTGAAGATCTGATGAAGAATGCCTGTCGTGTTTCTTGGAAAACTACACACAAATGGTGCTGTGCTCCTTATCATATAAGTGTATTACATAGTGTTGCACTATAGCAAATAAAAGTCCATGTATACCACCAAGAGCATATTATCAACATCATAAAAAAGATTTGGTCAGATGAATTCTATGATTTATTGCTTTAGGCATATTGCGATAAAATCTTAGACGGGGCTTTTAAGATTCTTCGTTGAGTTCGGTTATCTATCCAATCATTTTTATGATGTGTGCACAGTTAATATTCCTAAGATCGCTTCTTTGAAACATATGCTTGCCAAATCCGACCATTACTGTTTTTCAAAAGTGTATGATGAGCGTTCAGTGCTGCAGTAGGTTGCATTGTAAAGAGTATACAATGTTTGAGAACTAGGCTGATTATGTGTTACTATGAGCACCTCAACTAGGACGAAAAAGATGCAAAACATCGGAATGACAATGTGGAGACGAAATCAATGAGGAAATGGATGGTGGTGTGGGTGCGCAGCATGGTGGGCGTCTTGACAGAGTTATTATTCACATCTACATCTACACTCCCCCCCCCCCCCCAATGTATACGAAGTTTATAACTAATCAAGCCATTAATCTACAATGAAGCGCAGTATATATTTTATTTGAAGAGCTGTATTAGAAAGCAATCTGGAAAAATCAGTGGTATATAATGACAACATGTAAACAAAATACAAACGAATAAAGTTGAGTAACTACAACATGAATAAATTGTTTTCATAGTGTGGAATAAGATCTCATTCAGTGACAATGACTGGAATCACTTGACCCGATCGACGACATCGAGTGAGAAGCCAAACAAACGCGTCTAGTCCATACCAAACGATCAGTCGTATGGAGATTGTCAGTCCACCATACAACGCTAACAAGATGGTCAGCATATAAACAATATCGTTTCGTTCGACATAAGAATATTGACATGATGCAGGAGCACACTCATAAAAGTAACTTGAATAATTCGATGAATTAGACCATGTTTCGATAAAGAGATCATCCATTATCGAACCGATTAATGTTGCATTCGGTGGGTATCGAGTGTTGTCAGATGAATTAAGTACAATAATAGGAGTTAAGAAACCGATCAATGCCGTAAGCTTATTCACACATGTTTGATCATACAGACATTCAAATGTCGATACACGAAGACCAAAGATCGGCAAACACCCACCGTTGAAACCTTGAAAAAATATAATTGATAAAAAAAGAAATAAATAATACTAGAATTACCCGGAAAAGTGATTGTATTATTACTTGAATTCCAAAAGCTAAGTGATCTCGAACATGTTAACATGCCTACAGCGCATGTACATGTATTATTGTTGTATGAAAGTGGAACTGTGCGAAATACGTAAGATTCGTTCGAATTCGAATAGATCATTTTCCAACTTGACATGAACTGATCTTGCAACTGGTTCGATTGGCATGCATCAATAATAAAGGCAAGAGTGCGACGGAATCTGGCTGGAGTTTGTTCAGTTAATAGTGCAATAGCCGAAGAAACTTGTGCTTGAAATAAAGTGACTGGTAGAGTTTCGACATTGGCTAGTTCATTTGAAATGAAATCAAATCCTGATTGATAGGCAACGTCCTTAGCAAGATCACATAGCGATGATAGTAAACGAAACTGGATGCTAAGCAAGAACCAATCAGGGACTGTCCAAGTAGAGCCCATGCTGAATAACGATGTCGACCAGCCAGATGAAACAAATGGACTGGAACAAGCTTGATGCATCACAGGTGAGACATTTAGAAATTTGTTATACTGAATGACAATTTGTGAGCAAGGACATGTTAGTGTAGCTGGATATTGAGAATGAAGATATTCGAATTGAGTTTCGGTTGGCGAGTCAACAGTGAATGAATGTGTCTGTTGAGATAGTCCGATAAAGAGTGATATAATAGTAATTGAAATAATAACTAGAACGAGATAGATCCGACTGGCTAAAAGCTGGTTATTACTCGCTGATTCTGTTTCATAAACATTTATGGTGAGAAGACTTTGCCGAGTGCTGGCAATAAGCGAAGAAAACGACCAATGAGTATGAATACCTGCAATTGCAAATTCATTGTTTTCTATATTGAAATTATTCGATTCCTTACCAATTTTCCTTTCCGAACGATTGTAACGATGGTGATAGATGTGTCGAATGGTCTTGACACACGGTGGGACAAGAAGACGAAGAATAACTGTGAGTCCACCTAAGAGACCGACAACATTTGTAATGATAAAGATGGGTCGGCGTTGCTCTATGAATGTATAGGTACAAGATTTAGGTTGACATTGAGAATAATGAGCAGCATAGTCAACTGTTTCCGTCCAATTTTCTACAAATAATTGTAAAATGATGGTTTCGAGTGATGTATTTGAAAGATATTGGCTTTGTATGGATGAATTGAGAGCATTGATATTGGTCAAATTAATAGACAAATAATCTTGAGTGAAGCCAAAAAGACGCCAATCAATCAGCATCTGAATACACGATTGATTAAAGAGGCATTCCAGTGTTGATAAAAGAATTGAATCGATAGGACAACAGCCAATTTTAAAACCAGAAATTGTGAGATTTGGTAATGAAGTACCGTAATGACACATAGGTGAATTACAATAGAATCCTTGCGGTTTAGTACACGAACTTGATGAACCACATGAACAACTATTGTTGCCATCTGAATACACTTTCGATTGATAACGAAGGCTCCAAGAACCATTGATTTTCTGTGACCTTGGTACAGCATTGGTTGCTCCAGCTAAAAGGAACTGATTTAGTCGAATTGCGCTTGAGACAAGTCGGAATAGAGAAGCAAATGATGCAGTCACCTGTCAAATAAAAGTAATGTCAGTCTTCGTGTCTTGGTACAAAAAATCGAATGAATACGCTTTCTATACTTAAATAGAGGTTTCGCTCAATGAAAGAGATCAAAACTAAGTTTTCCTATGTAGATATAGAGATGTAAGAAGGTAAGACCTTTACTTTTACTGTGAAATATGACTATATCCACACCAACTGCTATCATGCTTTTTGATTCATTTTTAAAGTGTATGTGTAAGGTAGGCTGCTAATTTATCAGATAGCCTACTATTTGTTTGTACACAGCAATTTTGTCAAGAATTCTACAATGTAATGTTTTCGGGAAAAATGAGTTCTGCATCAAGAAAGGCAGTAACTGGCTTCGGCAGCTTTGTTTTGCAATATTTTTTAAGGGACACAATATAGTTTTTATTTTCAATGACGTATGTTTATGAATTTCCTGTTTCAAAGCTCTATCTCTCTCTCTGTGTCTACATGGTGGCTCATTCACGTTGAAAAGTTCGCACAATTTGTTTCAACATTCGAATGTTTGTTTCAGTTAATTTGAAGTTCAAGAGTCCTTCGGGCTTCAGCAGTTTAAAGTTCTAACTTTTGAAACTTTTTGTTAGCTACAGGAATTTACAATAAATACTAAATTGAATCCATAAAATGTAATCAATACACGTGAATACAAAACGAAGATGCGTGCATTCGATAACTTATATTTATTTAATCATTTTTAATTATCACATCGAGTACAAGTGTTGAAATAATTTGACAGGGAAAATTTTTCTGAATCCAATAAAGTCGAATTATTTTTTATTTCAAAATTACACTAGTGACACTTAACAGAGTGGACTATTCAATCCATCCATTTCGCATCATTTTTCCGCCAAAGACCAAAACAACGTGAACAATTCCGTTGAAACTTTTATTGTTTGACAAAATTTAGACGGAGTTTACTACTAACAATGCCGGTAAAGTCATGCGAATCTAATCAATTTGAGTAGGAAAAACAGTTCAATATTCTCTTTGATGAGAAATGGAGCCCTACGCAACTTTAGTGTGTTTATGAGAATTGATCAGCTCAACGTTTTAGGATAGAATAGATGTTAAGACAGCAATGCTCGGGTAGTTTCAAACTATCTTTGCAATGGCATGTAGGAAATTGAAAATCGTTAAAAATAATGTAGCGCGCTAAAAGTTAAAAGTAAAAATAGACGTGAAGAAAAATTGTGAAAGTAAGTTGTCAAATAATTTTATGAACCGCTCCAGATGTTTCAGTTCTCAAAATTTTTGAAAGACTTTCTCAAGTTTTCTTCAAATCGAGATCCCATAAATACTCATAATTTTCCTATTTCTGTATCTTCGTTTTTTAAAACTCATTTTAAGATTTTAATATCTAAAATTGTACGTGAGAATTCAGTGACACTTCGAGTTAGCTAAAAACAAAACCTCATGAAATCCCTGGCCGTTACATAAAATTCGAGCTAATTCTTCTAAGTAGAGAAATAGAATGTAAATTATGAGAACGACTCACAATCAAAATGCTGATGTATTCATCATCATCTATTCGTATAATTTCATTCAACTGGAAATTAGAAAACGCTCTTACAATGCATTATAATCGAAAATGCAAAGTGCCTTCGTAAACTTCAGCAACTGTCACAATAAACGTTAGATCACTAGGAAAAGAAGCTCTTGCTCTATCGAATTTAGTGTGACGAATAAGTCTAAATCTAAACTAATATCATGTGAAGACTAAATTTTTTTGTGATGAGATACTGCTGAAAAATCAAAGAATAAGGTGTTTTTAATGCTGTTGTTTTTCGCGAATGGTTGTGACTGAACTTCAGTCACAAACACGACTACAGTGGTCATGCTAGACTCTACAGGTGACACTTTCCAAGATTGTTCTAGTAGAATCTGGATTTGTGCGATCATTCTTTATTGGTATGAAAATTGACATATTACAATTGGACATGCTGACCTGTTGTTTGAATTGAATGAATAGAACCGATGTTTGTGCATTGAAATCGTCTCCTGCTAATGGTTTTGCACTTACAAAGTATGTTCCATTGAATACTTCTAGAGCATTTGTCACGGTTTCTTTTGACAAATTGCAAAATGTTTGCAATTGTTTGAAAAATGCCCGGCCAGTCACACGAAAATCGCTTCCAAAAAAACTTGACGGGTTTGAATTATTCTGATTAATCAAATTGAAAGACCAATACCTGAGCCAACCATCGTCTTGAACAAATGTACTCGTGCATATCTGATGATACCGAGGCTGAATAGCCATGATACTCGCGTGGGTCATCGAAAGACGCTGACATGGGCATGACAATCTCGAAGAGTATTGATCATGAAGTTGTTCGAACTGTGCTAATAATGGATTTTGTACAGTGATATTTGTTGTACTTTGAATCACTGATGAATAGACGATCAAAATAAGAACAGAGATGCCGAGCAAAATGATATAGACACGAGTCGAATAAATTCCATGGCGAATATCTACCAGTGTCTTTTTAAACAAATTAAATGTCATCAATGCATTGCGGGCTACAATAAGAAGTCTAGTAACATGCTCTTTTATACCTATTGCATAAAAAAGAAAAAAGAATTCTTTGAACAATAGAATAGTAAACTCACTAATCTTATTTTGATCAATGCCTACATTCGCTTCATCAGCTTCATCAGCTTCTTCAGTAACTGTTGATCGTTTTCTTTTAATCAGAAATTTAATGATGAAACTCGATAAAATATGCATTGCAACGCAGAGTCCACCAGTGAGACTAACAAGAGTTGTTATCATATAGACAACATTGAATCGTTGTGAATAGGAATAAGTGCATACTGTTGGTGAACAAACTTCAAAATAGCTTCCGAAATCAGTCGTATTGTGCCAAGACTCGATCATTAATTGATCGAATATGTTGCTTACCAAAGTATTTGGATTAAAACTAGAGTAACCGATTGTAAAATTGAGTGGAGTAACTCCAACAAGAGCATCTGTAGAAGATGTTACAAGATTGAGACACGTCTGATTAAAGAAACATTCGAGTGTCGAGGATAACAACGAAGTTTGTGGAATACAACCAGCTTGCATGCCACTAACAAAGAATAATGGTGGTGGATATGACCATAAAGTGTCACCGGCTATCATCGATCCTGGTCCTGACCAATTGAAAATGCCAGACGGAAATTTACAATCAAACGTATCTGAGCAACTACAAGCATCATTTGGATAGTTTGATGTTGATATAATATTGATTTCATTGAATATGTTCGCATAGCTTGCCGAGTAAGTAGCAAATCCATTCGAGCCTGGTATGTTAGCCACATAGAAGTTGGTTCGAAGTGCCGAGAATAGTCGATTTTGAGCCAGAACCAATGAGAATAGTTGTTCAATGCGACTGTTATCTGCTCTTGTTGTCGTTTGTAGCTGTTCGACAAGTGCTGCAATTTGAATGTCAAAATTAGCACGAAATAATGCGCTTCTTGAGATCATTTCTGATGAAGTAAACTCTTTGATGGCATCGACAACAGTTGCATTAGCCGTACGACAAAGCAAGGCAAGTACTTGAAATTGTGATGAAGCGATTAGACGAAAATCGAGTAGATAATTGTTAGTCATTGTCACATTGAATAAAGATGAAATCCATTCATTACGAACAAAGTCACTGGAGCAAACTTGATGATATTCAGGATTAAAAGCAAGAAATCGATTGTATGGAATTGAGATTTGTGAACAAGGACATGACAGTGTCGATGGATAGTCAATTGAAAGTTGTTCGAAAGTTGTCATGGACGGTGAAGAGATTGTTACAACATGAGTCTGCGCACTGGTTCCAGTAAAAATGAGAAGAATGGCGATGGAAATAGTAAAGAGAGCGATACAGATTCGTGTAGCCAAGATTTGTTCGACAAGTAAGAATGAGTAGCTATCTTTGTATAAATTTAGCTTCGCAATTAGCTCGATTGATTGCTTCCACAAGTTAGGTGAGTTGTTGTTCGTGGTAGTCATTGCTCAAATAAAAAAAGACTGTCTTGCATTTCTGTCTCCGTTACCGGAAATGAAACAATATATCAAATATTTTTTCATTTCTCCTCTCTCTTTTTTAGATAGATGGCATGTATAAAATTAATTAAGCACTCTCTATGATTGCTACAAGTTTCAAACAACCTACACACTTATTCGTCTCTTTTCACTCTATCGATAAGTCACATTCTATTTCTTTCTTTTTCTTCTTTTCTGTTCTTCCGTAGTGTTCATTCGTCACTAACTATTTGTCATGTCAGTTGATTTAATTAACTATATTCTGGTCAAATTATCACCCTCAACGAGAAACTACTTGTGACGAATAAATGATAGAAGGGGGGATAATATCGATGGTTATACACTTTATTCTATTCCTTCATATCATATAATCGTGTCGTTTACATAAAAAGCACACGCTTATATACGCAAGTAGAGTAAGAGAGGATGAAGAGAGAGGAGATGATGCCAAGGAGAGAGCAGATATAGGAGAACAATAGAGTAAGGACAAAAAGGGTGTGTGTGGGTGGGTGTGGGTGTGGGTGCGTGTGGGTGTGGGTGCAGGTCCTAGTGTAAGGAAGAACTACACCCACATCCACCCACACTCACACCCACACTCCACACCCACACCCACACCCACCCACACCCTTTTCAAATTGATCCCACCAAAACTAAATATGAATAATTGAATTGATGGCTAAAAATCACTTTTATTGATGAACCATGTTGCATGATATTTCTTTTTCTTCAAAAGTCACCAAAAACATTTAAATCAATGAATGAACATCAAGAATATACTTGTTTTTTGCAACCAAATTTATAGTCTTCATGAAAGATTTATAAATGTCACTTATAAAGTGATTCTTTATCGTATTCATTTGCAGTAAAAATTTCCACTTTGATTGACGAATGAAATTGAAAAGTGAAAAGTTCAGTTTTATGATGATCAACATTGCGAAAATTATCCTTAGTAAAAAGTCTTCAAACTAAAGATCTGACTTGATTGTAGAATGTGTAAAACAAAAAACTATCATGTGAAACCTCCTTTTTCTCTTCTCATTTTGTTTATCGAACAAAAAAGTAAAATATCATCATCTTCTTTATGCCTTTCTTTTTCATCATTCTTTGACAACAAATTTCCTTTGTCAAAGACAATTGCATTCAATTATCACACTAGAAAACAACGATTAATAAAATTTCATTATTTTCTGCGTTAAGAAACTTTGAAAAGACGAAAATACAAAATGATTGAGATTCTGTTTAATATTTATAGAATATATGTTTTGTCGAATGTCTTCTGACTCTTTGCCTATTCATACAGTGATATGTTCTGTTCTTTCATTCTAATCTTTTTCAATTTCAATCTAAAACAAATATCGATCTGAAACTGATAAATTCAGGTTGATGATACAAATAAATTTGTCTGTATGAAATAATTCAATGTATATTGAAATTTTTGACAATGAATTACGAACATTGTATTCCGAAATATTATATGAAAGATAAATTGAAAGAGATGTTTGTAGAGAATTTGAAAAATGAACAAATTAGAATTATACATGAGTTTTACAAAAAAGAATTCGTTGATTGACAATCTTTTTTTTTTGTTTTATTGTCCACAGAAAAGTTTCTTCAACAAAGAATGAAACAGAAGAAGAAAATTTGATGGAAATATTGATTTGATTAACAATTGAATTCAATGTTTTTTTTTTAAGAACTTTTCGTTTTATCAATTCAAGATTTATTTATTTAATTTAAAGTATTCGAATTGTTATTTTGAATTTTCTTAAATATTATTTAATAAATATTTACTTATAAAAAACTTTAATGATACTTTTATTATTAGTCTTCAATTATGATTCAACTTAAATGAAATGAAAAGAACATTTTAACTAAAATATTTTATTTATCTAAATATTCAATTTTAAATG